CTATTTTTCTTGAAGTATAAACAAGTCGTGATTTTTCCTCATCCCTTTGCTTAAATATAAAGGTAGCCCCAGGACGCATAACATCCGGTTGGAGGGGCCGGCTACTGTTATCAGTCAGGAAACAGAGCTGGACACATCCTCTCCTAAGTCTCAGCAGCCTAAAGCCACCTCCAGTGGCATGATTTGGCAGGAAAAGACAAAGTTGCGTGTCTTACTCCTTCTCCTTTGCACACAGCAGGAGCCTCCCTCTACAGTTCTGGGAAAATGAATCTTTTTCCTCCTCTAACAGGTCAGAGTGGGAGAATATTTTTTTCTGCCTGAGAAAGCAGCAGAATTCGTAATGTTGGAATGTGAAGTGATGCAGGACAGCCTTACACCGCTGGGTACTAAGAAAAAAATAAGTCTCTGGATGAATTGAAGTCTCTCGGTACAAAGCCCACCTTCCTCCTCCTCCCCTTCCTCATTATCATCAATCTCCACTCAGGATTTCCAAACATTCATCATTTAAAGCAAGCCCACTGGCAGCAGTAACTATTTTTGTTTTAGCAGCAGCCAAAGTTAAATTGAGTGGGAAGGGTCAGACTAAACGAAAGGGGTCTAGAATTTCCTAGAGTTTAATAGATTTTAAAAGCAGCCATCAGTGGAGTGTATTATATATAACACTTTTTCCTATTGCCATTTACCAAGTCAAAATAATGTTTTCACTTTCTCTGAAGGAGGGGACAAATTAAAGGATAAAGTGTGTTACTTAGGAAAAAAGGAGGTTTTATCTTAGTCCAACATTATGATCCCGATTCTAAAGTGTTTCTTGATCCCTGCTTTGAATTTTGGGAGCAAAGGGAGAAAGAACCTAATCATCCATTTTCTGCTGTTCCCCACTCAGAGAGATCTCTTGGTCTGTAAAGATCTGCATTCATATTCCTTCAAGGTAATTGGTTGAGAAATTCATACTAGCACCCCTTTCTCTCACTGTCTCTGTCACACCAAAGTTTTCCCTTTCTCTCTGATGCTTTCTAGTTTCCTTCTCTCTCTCTCTCTCTCTCCCTCTTTCTCCATAGGCAGATTGTGATGAATAATGCAAAGATGCTTCTGTCAAGTAAGGAAGATTTTTTTCAAGACAGTACAACAGTGGTGGGATTAATTTTTTTTTAGTATGGGTTCTGTGGGTGTGGCTTGGTGGGCATGGCAAGGGAAGGATACTGTAAAATCTCCATTCCCACCCCCCTCCCGGGGAAGGTTACTACAAAATCCCCATTCCCTCCCCATCCCACTAACCTGCTTTCCAGCTCCGTTCTCCTGTGCAGGGCAACAAAAGAAGACCCAGCCGATCAGCAGGGACTAGGGAGGCAGAGAATAGATGGGAGCAGGGCCTGTCAGAGGTGGTATTTGCCTGTTCTCCGAAATACTCAAAATTTCTGCTGCCAGTTCTCCAGAACTGGTCAGAACCTGCTTAATACCACCTCTGCAGTACAACTCACTAACAAACTTTGCAAGAATTCAGCTCATTGAAAGCTAAAATCTAAAGTCTTTAGGCGAACAAACTTTTTATCAAAATCTTTCAAAGCTGCAGAAATATAAAAGAATATCCACTGTATTTTACTTCTCTGCTAACAAATCTCTAACTCTTTAAATCTTGAAATTGGTGATCAAGAAGTGGGAGAAAATTCAGCTCCTGTTTCTTCAGATTCATGGAAAATTGTCCTGGGTCAAAAACAGCACGCACATTGGCATGAGCCCAAAGGCTATTCAGAAAGGGTGAGGTGATGATGTATACTATGCCTGAAGTATGTATGTGTGCATATATGAAAACAAAAAGTTATTTTCAGACATTGTTTACTGAAATGGTATTTGTCACCATGCTGCCCTGCTTGCTTCATGATATCACAAGCCATGTTTATAAAATGTGCCAAAGAACTTTTCCTTCTCTTTTCTGATTGTGAATGTGAAAAGTGCATGCATGCACACACCAAGACCTTCTTTCACCATAAACAATATCGGGTTAAACAGAAACATGGTCATGGTTCTGGATTGGTCTGCAAAATTGGCCTTTTTTATTGTGCTCTCTCTGGATTGTTTTCACATTTCTCAAGCTCAGTATTGGAATAGTCACAATACTATCTGGCTAATCCACTACATCTAGACCAGTGTTCTTCAACTTTGGAAACTCAACTCAAGAGTTTAAGTCCACATACCTTAAAGTTGCCAAAGTTGAGAAATACTGGTCTAGAAGATTCTTAAACCTAAGAACCAACCAAGTACGGGAAATTGGTAATGAATTCTCCCATCATTAGTTTCAACTTACAACTTACAATCTTTGTCACACATCAGTAACATTTTATTAATGTTTCACCAAAGATTGATTCTTTGCTATTTTCAATCACTTATGCTAGCGTTAACCCCCAGAACGATCAAAAACTTGTCTTTTGTGTTGAATGACTGTGCTGCATGTATTTTATAATTGCTGTAATGTCTCCCAAGATTAATATCCAGTTCTCTTCACCAGGCTGCTCACTTATCACTGGACAGGATCCATTTTCTCATTTTGTTTTTTAAATGTGGTACTGAAAACATTTTCATTTTTCATTTCATTTTTCAGGAGGGTTGTTTTCATTCATTTCCTAATTTTAACTAATTTTATTACAGTTAACAAATACTTTTACAGTATTAATTTACTGGCTGATCTCAAAAAAGCTATGTGAAGTGAGAACTGGTTATTACTCAGATAAGAAGCCATCAGCAGAACTAAAGCTGTGTTCAAGTTTTCAGACTTTAGGGTTCTATGGAACAGTTTGAAAAGCCTCGTTCTTGTTCATCCTATTGTATTAAAATACCATATAAATCCAAGTTGCATTAGCTTTCCCATTTTACTTACCCTTGGATTACATGAGATGTCACATGGATAGAACTGATATCAAGAATATCAGCTGTATCCCATTCTTTGGGAATTGCAAAATATGGGGTTGGGAACTCCCTGTTCCTTGGAGTTTGTACTTTAAAAAAAAAAACATAGCATAGTTACCTGTCAAGAAGGCTGTAATAATACTGCAGAGAAATACTTTTCAGTATAGGAGCTTCAAGTCATTTGTTGCAGAGGGAGGGCTTTAAAGGGAAAAGATTGGAAGAATTTCATCTCACCAAGGCCCTGTGTTCCCATTTCCATTCTTATTTTTCCTTCCTTTTACTTGAAAACCATATTACTAAAACCAGTGGTAGAGTTTTGTACCATCTCTTTATTATGGCCATTGCATGTATATGATAAAAAGAGATGCAATTTCACAAAGCCATGGCCTTCTTGACTTTTTTTAATCTTCTCCCTACAGATGCCTCAGTTTAGTAGCACAACCTCAGCATGCTTCAAAGGCTGCACATGGGATACTAAGGCATGCTCTGAGGATATAATCAAACTCCATCATTCCAAAAAGAGAGGGGAGTTTTCTTCAAGTTTAGAGTTCTAGAATTCTGGCAAGATGCTGTGGAGGGGACAGAAAGTGGCCTTGAAAGACAGTGGGAAGATCTGTTGTCACGGCAATGTTCAGACTAGCATGGCTTGATCCCATTGCAAGAAATAAATAAACGCAAGGCAATTCCTAATCCACATGAAGATAAAGTGACAGAGGAGTGGAACACATTTAGATTTGCAAGATTCTCTTACTATAGTTTTTCTAATAAATAGCTTTAGATCTACATGGCACTGCTTTCTTAATCTGGGCCTTCTTATAAGGCTGACAGATGCAAGTCTTTTTTTTTTTTCTAGTATTTGGGTGAGAATTTGGAGACCCTGAATTCTTTGAAGCATGAATTCTTTAAATGCAGAGCTGCCTCTAGTCTTAAAATTAAAATGCTGGATTAAGGGGAAAGCATACCCAATATTTAGGGAGCTCATTAAATATATTATATGGAAAATACACAGAGCTTTCCAGTCGATCTTTCAATATGAATCTATAAGGAACTCAACCTTTTCAAATAAAAATGAGGAATCACAAGAATTCACTTAAATGAATTGAAGTTTGAGGAACAATTCTATCAGGTCTATTTAGGATCACTAAGGAGTATGACCAAACAAATCTCCAAACCCCAGCAGCTGTTTTCCAACACGTTTATGCATTTTTGAATACAATGTTGCCCTATTCTATGCATCATGTTTTCACATATACTGGAATTCTAGGTGTTGTATATCTTGTACATCGCACCCGATTCATTGGAGTTCTCCCTTGCAAAGTTTACATCAATTGCAGATTATGAATCAAGTGAACTAGATATGTTATCAGAGAAATTAGCTTTTATAAAAGATATTGAAATCTGGGTGAAAATATTAAAGAACTTATAAGGGATGGAGTTCCTCCCTTATACTACCGCCTCCATGTATCTAAACAGATTAACCCTCTTTACATAAACTTATTTAAATATATCAACTGAAATTATCAAGAGCAAAGAGTAACGCACAAAAGAATTATCTTAGCAACTTGTGTTTAATTCATTTATTCTTTAATATATATAAAAACATTATTTGTAGATTAAACCACATATTTGAGGAACAAAATTAGAAAAGCAGAATGATATAAACTAGCAATTAATCACTACACTACCATTAAACTGTTAAATAACTGATTAACACAGAAACAGTTGATTTCCATCAATGTAAGGAAGTTCTATCAATAAAAACACATGGTGAGGAAGGGGTAATCTGTAAAAAATACATGTATACAGTGCCATTCCAGGCAAAATAAGACACAGAAAAGAGGATAATTTTTACTTTTAAATGCAAAGGTTTTTTTTTTTCTCTAGGATGATTTGATAAAAATGGAGCATTACTAATACAAAATCCTTTTCAACAAAACTCTCCCTAGATCTTTTGCCAGCAGTGAAGCTGGCTAACAGAAGTAGGAGAACAAAGTTAAGAAAAATGAGAAGATGGGAGAGGCCTTGATGTTAAATTAAGTTCATACAGCAATTCAGGTGCTTTAAGACTTAATTGGAGTCTAAGAATGTCCTCAGATTGGCTCCTTGTAAAAAAAAGTCTATGAACAATCTACAATCTTTCCCTTTCACACCGAGTAACTATAGACAGCCTTTGAAATTAATCACCAAAATCTTTGTCATAATTATTTACCTACCAAACTGATGGTAGGTACAATTTATTTCAGTACTACAGTATTCATTCCTTTTTGCCATGTTAGACCAGCATAACCATTGATAAGTCATCTGCCCAAATTTTAATAGCTAGAAAATCTATCATTTACGTCTTAGCATAATCTTATTAAGATCAATGAGATTGCAACAATGGAAACTGTTACTGGATCACTAAGTACAATCTTTCCATCCTCCAAAATGTCAAAACATATGGAGTTACTGTACAAAATCTATACACTTCCTTATATGGAGTTTCTCTTAGACAGGGGTGGGCTACTAAGGGTTTGTATGGGTTTGGGCATGCACTCACTGAACCAGTTGTGAAACTGGTAGAAGCCCACCACTGCTCTTAGAGACAAATTAATGATCCATTTTAATTTTCACTGAATCCCTGATAAAGACATCTTAAGCCATACTACGAGGAATAAGGTATATGCAGGCTCGCTTTACAAGCAGGAATTGGGTGAAGCAGCTGTCACTCAAATGAACTTCTTGCTAGTAAATCTGGGTTTTCTGCTAGAGAACTGAGTTCCAGAGAAGAGCAAGAAATCTGAGTTTTCTTGATTTTTTAACAAATCCAGAATGTGCAGCAACTGGAGCTAGTCTGCAGTTTGCCAAGAAGGACCAGAGCAGATCAGACAATTTGTGACGTAACAATTTAATCAATACTGGCCAAAGGGGCAAAGAAATGGAGGAAGCGGATGACTGAACACATGGGAAAATGTTTTTCAAGTACATCAAGGACTTATAAATAAGATTTGAAACAATAATCCTAAATTATAGGAAAATTTCCAATTGAATATAGGCAGTCCTCGTTTAGTTATCAAAACTGGGACCTGCAACTTGATCGCTAAGCAATTACTCAATTAATCAACTCTGTTTATGATCTTACTGAAGCTTCACTATGCACCTTTCACTGGGTATATCATGCAGAAGCAAAGCATTTATTTTATTTCTATAGCCTCACATCTCAGCAAATGACTCTCGGTGGCTCACAATTCAAAAACGTATTATTTGGATTAAATGGAGAACTGAATGCAACAGCCGAAATTGTCCCTGAAATTGATTTTAATTTGTCTTAGAAATTGATTTTGTCTTAGAAATTTGGATGAGGATGGCATGCTTTAGTAAGAAACCTTTTTTTATTGAAAAAAACTTGTACAATAATTTTGAAACTGAAGAGTTCGGCATGTTTAAAAGGGAATTCTAAGTATGTTTAAATATAAAAGGAAGCAAATATGCTAGTACCTTTGGCAAAGAAGGTACATCAAATATATATTTATAAGGCTACATCTCCCAGAAGTCAACCATCACATAGAAAAATGCTAAGGGACAGTGTTTTCTCCCATGCATTTAAATATACCATATCATCAAGATAGGTTACTTAAGATAACTGCATTTTTGAAATACTGTACAGGCTGTTATACTTCTCTAAAGCCAAAAATATATTTGGGGTCAATAATACCTTCCACAGTGTAAATTTCTCACTGCTTATAAAATACCCATTAGGGGATGAGAAGGGAATCTGTTTTTCCTAAATTATAGGTTGTTCATAAGTTTATAAGAAGCCAAGAAAAAAATCCCACCCAGAAAAGAACACTCCACATAGACTTTTAAACTTAAAAGCAGCTTCTGGGATAGGATGAGGGAGATCTCTTTGACATTCTTTGTTGACTGTTTATATCATAAGGAGTCCAAAGCATAATAGCAAACATGCTAAGATTATTAGCCTTTATATGTAACCAGCTTGGGTGATGATGGCTGTCAGCTAACTTTTCTGGAAAACAGCTTGTTATGGAAGATGCCTGACTCCTATTTCCCCCCACTCCAATGGACCTCCAGATCCATTTAGATTAGAATTAAAGGTATATAAAACAAATATATATCCTCACCCTGAAATGTTCAGTTCTGATCTTGAAATGATTTGTACACTTCTTGCTAAAATTAAAATGTTATTGAGGTGAACTTCACCTATTTTGACACTTGAAATTCATTCTCAAATGCTAATATTTGCACCTGATGCTTCTCTCGTGGTTATTTCCAAACATAAAACACCTCTTCCACAGGCAAGAAGAGAAGATCCTGAAAGATGCAAAGGGCAACAGCCAAACCGTGTCCTGTTTTCAAAAAACAAAAAGCTAGCGTACATTGTGATTGTTAGACCCTTCCTAAAAATTGCAATACCATACAGGCACTACAATGAGAATTAGCACAGTGTTGTTCAAAGCCACACGCAATTCTTCTGACCTATATTTTGTGATGAGATTATATAGCCCCATTTACCACTGATCATGATGAAATCCCACCTTATGATGATTATGATGCAGTCCCACCTTGCTTTGCCCTGTTTTGTCCTACTGCTATAGCCAATTTTCAGTTTGTTGACATAAGCCAAACTGAAAGAGATGATAGGGCCTAGGTGGTTCGCAGCATGAGGCCCTTGTAGTTGCAAAAGTTCATAGGAGAGGGACATTTTTAAAGAGCTATACATTCATTTGATTACCCTTATTGGGGCATATTCTACTGATTTTAAGATAAAAAATTATTTAGCCAGAGACAACAGGAAGATAAGTGGCTCAATCACCAAGGATAATGAAGTTTCTGTGATAGCACTTTTGACATAGTTACATACTCTGTTTCAGCTTTGACAGGGAAAAATCTCCTATGCGAGCCCATGAAAGCAAATAGGAATTGTGCAAAGAGCAAAAACACTTGAGAAGACATCCTGCATAACAAATTGAAAGTGTACAGACATACAGATAAACATCTGAGTCTGCTTAGTAGTGGTTTCTCTAGGAAATGTGTCCAAGGGCATCTTTGGTTGAAAGACTCCATAAGTGGTCATGTATATTTCCTGATGTCCTTCCTCTGTAGTTAGACCAGATTTGTAAGTATTATTACTATACCAGCTCTGTCTGGGCCCCTCAGTTTGATGAAAGAACAAGAATTCTTTTATCTAAGTCAACATACTAAGGTGCCTTGATGCATCATTGAAGATGTATCCTTTTAATTGGGTTACAAAGACACTTCTGAAGACAGACGCTCAATAGTTAGACTGGGTACAAAGAATGTTGGCAAACTGGAGTAATTATCTAGAAAGTGAACCCCAAAGTTATTTCAGTTCAGGGAAACCCGGAGAAAAGGAAACCATCTGTCCAGCAAACTGGTCCACAGGACAAATCTCACCTCTCTGACCTAAGAAATGCTGTAATTATTGTAATATGTAGCTGTTGCATCTGCAAGGACAGAAATTAAGCTGGTTTCTGAGGAGTGTGAGCTGCTTGCTGTCTGAGAGACCTGGACATGTCCGTTGACGGAGAGCCCACTGGGCTCTGGATGTCCAGGGGCACTGAGATACTGATCAAACTCATTGCGGTCCATCTCCTCTAGAAGATCGGCTTGGCTCAGTTGATCCAGACTATCAAAGTTCTGATGCTCCGGGGGAGGTGAGAGTTGGCCAAGATGGTTGTGGAGGCTGGGGACTTGGAGATTAGGAGGGAAAGCTGGGGAGTAATAATTTCCTGTGGGAGGTGCTGGGCAATTGGAGGAAGCAGAGTGCATCGTGGAAGCTGATTGAGAGATTGCCATGTGACCCAGAGAGTGGTTGCACTGGAGAGGGCTGGTGGCATATTCTAGAGAGTAGGTGTCTCCAGACATACGGGGACGGCGAGGGTCTTCAGGACAAGGGGAGGAGAAGAAACTCTGCTCTGGATCTATCACATCCAAAGGTGACATCTCAGGAGGAGTAGGCAGCCCATATGGATAGGTGTCCATTGGAGTACCTGTGTTACTGCTCTGGACCTCCTGGTATCTCCTGAGGTTTGGCATTATTGAGGCAGCTGAGTAGTCATCTTTCTCACCCACTGCTCGGCTGCACACCCTCTTCTCAGGCATGTGGTCTTGGTCCCTGGAGAGGCTACCCAGCAGGAAGCCCGGCTCCACCCGCTTGCAGATCCGCTTGACCTGCTTCTTTCTTCTGGGCCGATATTTGTAGTTGGGGTAGTCTTGCATGTGTTGAACCCTCAGCCTTTCCGCCTCTTCAACATAAGGTCTTTTCTGGGACGGGGTTAAAGACTTCCACGATTTGCCTGTAAGGAAAAAGAGAAGTTTCCCTTTTTATATTGGGAAGAATGAATTAAGCCCCTCCCCATCTATTGGTGAATTAAACTGACATTTATTTGCTGCTCTCCACTACACCTCTTCATATTATTTCATTTCAATCATAAGAAATGTATTCAATAACAAAACCAACGTCTTTTGTTGTTCTGCAAAACACCATGCATACAGCAAATACTAGTATTTTGACTTTGGGAGAATGGTGGAAGAATTGCCCCTTGTGCAAAATTAACGCAGGCTCTTTTGGAGCAGAGTGGCTAATAGATTTAAGTAAATAAAAAATACAGGAAATAGAGCTTACATAAAAGAACTCTCTACCACATCATAGCAAATTGAGCCTTGCTTTTATTTCCACATGTGTTTTCATAGAGGCTTACCTTCTTCACCCCTTGAGACAGCAAAAGTGGTGCATGTGACTTTGCATTTGCCATTTATCTTGCAAAACACGTGGGAAGTTTTGGATCAAGTGAGATACTGTTCCAATGTTTCTTGGTGAGCCAGTGATTTTTCCCATAAACAGAATTAGATGGTAAAAGTAATGGTCTTCCTTGACCCAAGACTCCAGGTTAATTTCATGTGAGATTGCCCAAAGAATAAAATCAGTGCCAGAGATCCTTTGGTCCTCACCAAAATAAATGAGCAGTTTACAGAGAGGGGGCCTTCTGAACAGCAACTCTGAAATTAGAAATGTTCAAGACAACGCATTTAGCGCCAGACATAATTACCCTGTTTGGCACTAGCTTGTCCTTTAAATCCTAGACTCTTTAATTTTACAAACCTTATTTGTTGGATTTGTTCATTTTTAGTTATTCTGCTCAATTTTTACTGTCCTGATTTGTTTTTGTATCCAATTCATATTTTTAAACATTATACCATAGGTAAGTTATTTGTGGACCACAAGAGAAAGCAAATCTAGTCACTTAGGAAAAAAACACCTCCCCCCAAATAATTTTTCAGCTGTGAAAAACTTACTTGAGGTATGATAGTTTTACTCTGTTTTCTAGCTCAAGTGTAGGGAAAACGTTGTTTTCTGAAGTTACGATCAGAAAGGGCTGTATGGGACCCAGCAGGCTACAGATTGTCACTTCCTATCTAAAGAATGAAGTATCAGCCATGGGCAGTTTTATTTGTTGTAGTTACAAGACAGCAATCCCATTTCACTGGAATGTTGCAGAAATAAAGCGAAAATTGTACATTCTGCATATGGTATTGGTTCCATAAATAGTAATAAAAATACCAGCTCATGGGATTCTGAAAGCATATGAAAATTCTACTAGACTTCAAAAAAGTCTCAGCACTTAGGTTCCATACTGGCTAATCTAATGTTTCAGGAAAGCCAAACGCAAATAAAAGGGCACTGCGTAGAATACCTTCACCAATATTTGACTATTAACAGCAACAGCCCTGAAAACATCTACTCCACATAACTAACTATCCCTTTTTTAAAAAGCCGCCAAATTTAAGGCTAAGGAATTTCTTTAGTCGACAACAATCGGGATATTTTTTAATCTTCTATGCACAGAAGCTGGCCGTCAGTTGGCTGCATTGGGCCAGATTTCCCAAAACTAGGCAATTTCCCTGATGTGTGAACTTCAACACAAAGAATGATGCAGCTTCCACTGCCTTAGCTAAGAATTATGGGGAGTCCTTACACATCTGAAGAGCCTGAAGCTTGGGGGAAAGAGGAGAAAAGGGACATTCCTTGCAAACTTTAAAATATAAAGTAAGACAATACAACTTTTGGACAACATTTTAAATCTTTTATGAGAGAAGTAGTATGTTCTAATATAATTCTTTACCTTCACTTGAGGACAGAATTGTATGAAAAGTAAAATATTGAAAGTAAACACTGAGGTTTACTGGCATGTAATACTCCTCATGAAATATGAGGCAATTTGTGTTTCCAGTGTATTAAAAAGTACCACCAAACCCCAATATAAATTTTGGAATTTTTCGTATTTTTTGTTTACCAAAGCAAAATGTAACTTTGAAAATGTAGTTCACATTTAAATGATAGATATTCCTAGCAACCAAGTATGCTTAGCACATCAGGCAAAGCCCTTCAAAGCAAAGGAATTATGAGCTAAATATAGGCAGTGAAACTTTAAAATGAAAAATTTCTAGCATTGTACCAAAAAAAGCTGTATTGGGCAAGTAAAAAAATTAATAAAAAATGATAAAAATTAATCGGGAGTTTCATTTCCAAGGCTTCCATTTGATACTTTTATAAAATTGAAGGTCAAAATAGTAACATAAATACTTTGCGGTACCAAAAATGTAAAGGGGTTGTCAATCAGTCTTGAATTTGAATTGTTCTCTCTTCCCACATGTCAACATTGAACACCAACAGAATGTATGTTAATTTGCCAATAAAAAACAATTTAATTTGCAAAGGAAAATCATACATCTCTGCTTTGGAAACTAACAGCTTTTTTGCTTCTAGTATGCTAGACACTCATTTGGGGAAATGCCCAGCTAAATAAAACAAGGTTTGCTTCTGAATGGGAATGTACAAGATTGTACTAGTACGTGTGGCATGTAAAACCACAAATAGGCTTTTTCCTCTCTTAACACTGAATGAAAGTATTCGTTGCTTAAGTCCATCCATATTCTTAAATGCTTCCTTCAAGATAGAGGCAATACACAATTTGAACTAAACTAAATTTATATGTAAAATTTTCAACATCTCTGAAATTATATTTCAAATACCAGTTTGGAGAGCACTGGTTGCAAAATTAAGTTTCACGTTTTGTTGACTATAATACTTTTAGCCACTCATGTAACAAAAGCAACAATTCACAATTGCTCCTGTCCCAAGGAGAGAAAAAAAGCATCAGGAAAAAAAAAGTAAAAAAAAAGAGTAAAAACTTTAACTCTTCTTTGCTGTTATATATTAACACAGTTAACTCATCTTGACTCTGCTGCTCAAGGATGCAAATTAGGTAATTTATGCAGATAAGACTGGTATGTATCATTTATCCTCAGCGCAGTATCTCTGACTATAACTTATTTATTTTAGCTGGAAAAAAACCTCAGCATTCTATGATATTATTAAAGTTATTTCCTTTAGAGGTAAACTTTGCTATATTCTACAAAAGGAATAACCTGAACATCATTATTTGTGCAACATGAGTTTGTAATCCATGTCCAATTTTTTTAGAAGGATGGGACCCGCAGCAAAGTTCTCCAGAACTCCAGCAGGAAATAGGCCACTATGTGGAAATGTGTTTCAATGGTATTAATTATAAAATACCGCATATCAAATGGAATAGTCAATGATTACAAAGAAAGATATTGGCGTCACACTGCTATATAAATATTTATGATATTCAGCAGCAGTGGGGAATAAAACACAAATTTTACTTTGGGAAATATTAGGAATGCTTTTATTTTATTTTTATTTATTTATTATTTATTAAATTTATTTGCCATCTATCTCACCATAAGGAGATTCTGGGTAGCTTCTGGAATGGTACGGAAATCTCCAACAATGATCCTTTTTGCAGATGTCTAGTGCGACCACTTTTGCAACACTGTGCTGTCTACATCTCTAGGTTATTGCCTTGAAAAAAATATGTCAACAACAAAAAAGGCAAAACTACGCAACTGAAATTGTACAGGAACTGAATTCCTATCTCTCTAGAGGAAAGACTTTTTCACGTAGAGAGAAAAACGACATATAAATATGTGATAAAATTAACCTTCCTAACACTGTGGAAAATGTATCTCACTTAACAACTAAGAAATAACCTTCAGAATATTTTGCAATAAAAATGTTTTAAAATTTAGAAGTCCCCCAAGCATTCACACCACCACTATGCCACACTGTGTAAATCTATACAATACTAACTGGAAAAGAAATCCTGTCAGGTTTCTTTCCAAGGGAAGATGCTTAAGCTCAGGTAGCATAAGCCTAAGGTAGTGATGGTCCTTTGGAAATTGCTTTAAAATCTCCATTTAAAAGGATGAAAAGCATTTGAATGAGCCAGGCAGCTTTTAGAAATGGCAGGAGATACAGCACTCTATTGCTACAATCCCTATTGCAGAGAAAGTCTTCGTAAATTCAATGAGGTTTATTCCTATGTAGCATCCTCGAGGATTTCACCACTACGATACAGTTCTACAAAAGCCTGATCAGAAAGATGACTTACTGAATTCAGTGAGGTTATTTGTTGGCAAAAGGACATGAGACTAGTTTAGAATGCATTATAGCTAGGTGTTAAAACTGAAATAGGAGTACCACATGAGATGACAGAAATCCCTGCTCTCTAAGTTTAAATCAGTTCATGTTACTGCAATGTTTTGTGGTTAGAAAGTTATATTTGATAACTTTGTGTTGGTTTTGAAAAATATTTATCCTTCTTGATTTTTTTTTAATCAAAATATTTTTACACTTTCAATTTTGATGTCTTTTTACAGAGAATGCTGCTTGCAAGGTTAAAAATATTTAAAAGTGTTGCCTAACTCTGTAATGAATGCTTGGAGATGCACTCCACAAAGATTCAAAAGAATATAGTTGAAAGATTCACATTATTTGTTTTTATTAATTTTCCCCAGATTAGCAGTGTGTTCTTAGTGTGGCAAATAAAGTATCCAAATCAAAAGATTTAAGATTTTTTTTAAAAAATAAAATACATATAATCAAAATATACCTTAAAATTCCTGGATAAAAATGACTACAATGTAGCATTTTTTTAAAAATAAGAAAAATATATTTCTGTGTTTGCCTGTAAGACTCATATTATCGTTACTTTATTACCATGTTAAAAAACTTCAAAATTCATCCCAAGTGATCTTGAACACACTGAGAACACACCGAGAAAATATTTTTTTTTAATTTGTGCATCTGTAATTCATCAGATGTTCAATACATTTTCAAATAGATTTGCTCCTTAAAGAAAATTAATTTTGCCCAATGAGTTCTGTGGTAATTCAACTACTTAATACCAATGTCAGCAATAATACAACAATGACATTATTTTAGAAAAGTTAGCACCTTTTAAATTTAGATACCCAAATATATTCTCAAGAAGAAATGAAGAGAAAAACTAAGTTTTCAAAAGCACCCTTTAAAAGAGCCGCTGTTTCAGAATTTTATAGGTACAAATAATTAATGTAAGATAATTTCAGCCGAGGGTGCTTTAAGTTTAAATATCCTCGATCCACTTCTCTGAGAAAAGAACTGTTTGGGGCCAAAAAAAAAAAAAACCCTGTTGGGTTGCAACTCCGCTGGCAACGAACAATCCTAAGGCTTTCTAAAATAAGGAGATTTCTTCCCTCTTAAAATCTATGGAGTAAATTCCATTTACTCCAACGGGAGAGCGAAATGCAGCAGATTTCACCCAGTAACTTCAGGAGAAGAATTGTAGACGCCGCACCGCTCCCCAAATTCACTGAGGATGAGGAAAGGTTGGTTGTACCCGTAATTTTGTTTTTCACAGGCTAACCCTCAACCGAAACATCCCGGCCTGGGTCATTCGGCGCTCGGCACAGCGAGCGACTTCGTAAAGCCGGAGTGGCGCAAAACGCGCCAAAGTCCCTCTCGCTCCGCTCACTCGGGCGGGCTCCGCTCACCCAGCATCTTGCTCAGCTCGGCGTTGTGCAGGTCCGGGTTCTGGACTGCCAGGCGCTTCCTCTCGTCCTTGGCCCACACCATGAAAGCGTTCATGGGGCGTCGGATGCGGCTTTCGGGGTTTCCCTTCTCCGTCCGGGGCACCGCGGAGGCTGAGGTCCCGCTGCCCCCGTCGGACAACTCCAGAGCCGAGCAGTCCAGCCTCTCCGCCCACGCGAAGGAACCCAGCAGCGAAGCCATGCCGTCGAGGCACGCGGGACTCCAGCCGGCGCCCCCCCCACCTCTCTACGCGCGACCGCGCAACCGCACGTCCTACGGCCCCGCAGCCTCACCCTGCCGCCCCAGCAAGCGCCTTTCCCGCGGCCTCGCTCTATTTATGAGCTTCTATGAGCTTCCTCCGGTGCCGTCTGGGAAGTGGCCGGCTCCGCCTTGAGCGCGCCCTCCGTCCCTCCCTCGCCTCTTGTCGGAGGGTGAGACGCGAGGTCGCGGGGAAGGCGAAAGGGAGGCGCGGGCAAAGCAAGCGAGCGACCCGCCGCCTTCCCTTCGCTCCCAGTATAGATGTGAGCAAAACAAAAACAAAAACCGAAAAAAAGCCGTGCCTCTGAGCAAGCGCCGAGTGCTGCCCGTCTTAAAAGGCAATCTTTAACGATCTTTGATAGACATCGGTCGACACCGTCCCCGCGGGCTTGCCACGCACAGCCTTCCTTGCCACTCCCCACTTTGCAACTTGGCAAGCCTTCCAGATATGAAGAGCTAAGGACACTTTAGCCTCTCTTTTAACAGACGTGAGTCCCACTAGGCTGTTACCGGTCCCCAGAAGCTCACACCTATGGCGTCCCTTCCTTAAAAAGAACAACACATGCTCTTATTTCAAGAGGTTGATAATGGTGATGTCATTACCAAGAAAGATGGGCAGAAGGAAGTATAGGAAGCAAAACAAAAAATACTGCAAGAAAGCAAAGAAAATACTGCAAAATCCTTGCATTTCCTCTATATCCACCTGAGCCAGAATAACCATATTTCTCTGATTCAGCAACACATTTCAGCTTCCAGACCTGAGAAAGGCATATATACAGGAACTTTCCAATACTTTCTCCTAGCTCTTTCATTCTTATTCCAGATGGGTTTTTGTATGTGAATTTGCACCTATGACTGTACATACAACATACTCATGTAGACTGCTAACTTAATCCATTTTCTGGGTTCACACAATACTTTTTAAAATTTATTTATTTGTTCGTTGGTTTGTTTATTTATTTAGTCAAGCATGCATTTGATAATATATATAAGTATAAACATGATTATTAATACATGAAATAGATACGAATAAAAGGGAACATTAAGACAGGGACGGTAGGCATGTTGGTACGCTTATGCACGTCCCTTACAGACTTCTTAGGAATGGGGTGAGGTCAACAGTAGACAGTTTGAGGTTAAAGTGTTTGAGGTTAGTGGGAGAAACCACAGAGTCAGGTAGAGTATTCCAGGCATTGACCACTCTGTTGCTGAAATCGTATTTCTTGCAATCGAGTTTTGTGTGGTTTTCCCTGAGTTTGTATCTATTGTGTGCTTGTGTATTGTTGAGGTTGAAGTGAAGTTGTCATTGACGGGTAGGACATTGTAATCGATAATTTTATGTAGTACGCTCAGGTCAGACCAAAGGTGCCATAGTTCTAAGTTATGTAAGCCTAAAATTTCAAGTCTGGAGGCATGTTGTGAGTAGAGGAGTAAAGGACTCTTCTCATGAAATATTTCTGGACTCTCTTGATTGTATTAATGTATGATATGCAGTGCGGATTCCAGAGAGATGAGCTGTATTCAAGAACTGGTCTAGCAAATGTTTTGTATGCTCTAGTTAGTAGTACAATATTACCGGAGAAAAGGCTTTTCAGGATTAGGTTAACAACTCTTTATGCTTTTTTGGCAATGCTGTTACAGTGGGCTCTAGCACTTAGATCATCAGAGATGAGAACTCCAAGGTTATACTTGTCAAATAAAATAGGGCTGGATTAGTGTTCACAACTTTCTTTGCTATCATCCTGTTGTCTAGATTTCTGCAGCTCAAAGCTGGTAGCTGTCCCTTAAATAAGTTGGATTAATGTAACATGCAAGGCACAAAAAATAAAACTAAGGCAAACACTAACCAAATATAGCATACTGTATTTAGAAAAGCATTAGGTAATTTTAACCTGATCTAGTTATGCATGTTGCAGAAATGCTGAATTTATGGGTTTATGAAAATAAAATAGAAATAGGAGGTGGGAATTACAGTTCATCTCTTCCTTTCATTTCTTTGGAGTGTATATTCCTGTGAATAAGAATAAGGTTAGTCACACTGATATAAATGTATCCATCTACAATACTATCCTTAGGAATACATGAAGCTAAATAACTTGCTTACCTCAAACTATTGATCTATATAGTTCAGCATACATGGCTGGTTATAGTGCCATAGAAATCTTTTGAACTCCTTCCAGGCAAGAAATGTCAAGGAATGACCCTGAGACATGATTCTTTCCCAAATTCAGTTTAAGCATCAAATGTAAACATCAAACTCTGTATGTTTTAAATATCAAAGGAATAGAATAGAATAGAATACTTTATTGGTCAAGTGTGATTGGACACACAAGGAATTTGTCTTGGTGTAAATACTCTCAGTATACATAAAAGAAAAGATACACTTGTTAAGAATCAAGAATCATAACCTACAACACTTAATGATAGTCATAGGGTACAATCAGCAATCAAATCACACTAGGAAACAGTCAATATAAACCATAAGGATACAAGTGACAAAGTTACAGTCCTACAATCACAAGTGGGAGGGGATGGGTGATAAGGAGTGATGAGAATATTAACAGTAATAGTAATGCAGACTTTGTAATAGTTGAGCAGTGTTGAGGGAATTATTTGTTTAGCAGAGTGATGGCTTTTGGGAAAAAAAACTGTTCTTGTGTCTAGTTGTTCTGGTGTGCAGTGATCTATAGCGTCATTTTGAGGGAAGGAGTTTAAACAGTTTATGTCCAGGATGTGAGGGGTCTGTAAATATTTTCACAGCCCTCTTTTTGACTCATGCATTATACAGGTCCTCAATTGAATGCAGGTGGGTAGTAATTGCTTTTTCTGCAGTCCTAATTATCCTCTGAAGTCAGTGTCTGTCCTGTTGGGTTGCAGAACCAAACCAGACAGTTATAGAGGTGCAGATGATAGACTCAATAATTCCTCTGTAGAACTGGATCAGCAGCTCCTTGGGCAGTTTGAGCTTTCTGAGTTGGCGCAGAAAGAACATTCTTTGTTATGCTTTTTTAATGTCGTTTTTGATGTTAGGTGTCCATTTAGGTCATGTGATATAATAGAATCTAGAAATTTGAATGTCTCTACTGTTGATACTGTGTTGTCTAGTATTGTAAGAGGTGGTAGTATGGGAGGGTTTCTTCTAGTCTGCCACCATTTCTACAGTTTTGAGTGTGTTCAGTTCCAGATTGTTCCAGTTACAAGTTGTGTAACCTCCTGTCTGTATGCGGATTCATCATTGTCTTGAATGAGACCAATCACTGTTGTATCATCAGCAAACTTCAGTATTTTAACAGATGGATCGTTTGAGATGAAGTCATTGGTATATAGGGAGAAGTGGAGAAAGCACACAGCTTCGGGGGGCGGGGGGCTGTGCTGATTGTACAGGTATCAGATGTGATTCTGCTTACCTTCACCTGCTCCTTCCTGTCTGTTAGGAAGCTTATGATCCACTTACAAGTGTGTTCAGGTACTGCTAGTTGGTTTAATTTACTTAGAAGCGTGTCTGGAATGATGGTATTGAATGCTGAACTAAAGCCTACAAAGATGACCCTTGCGTAGTGATTTGGAGATTCAAGTTGTTATAGGATGTAACGCAGAGCCATGTTAACAGCATCATCTGTCAATCTATTTGCTCGGTATGCAAACTGAATGGGATCTAACAGCAGATCTGTGATGGTTTTCAGGTGGGACAGCATAAGCTTTCTTTCCAAACTGAAGCAAATTATTGTAATACTACAGTATAATTCAAGATGAACACATTAATTCCTTGTTGGTGTGGGCTTTTGCTTTTAGTGAGATATTTTAAAATCAAATTGCCAAATATTCCCGGTTTGTGTGTTTTCTGGGCACAAAGAATTAATACCGTCATGATGTTGTAAATCACCCAAAGTCACTTGGGTGAGATGGGTGGTGTAGAAATTTAATAAATAAATAAAAATAAATATACGAATCATTTGGGCCAATCTAAGCAGAGGCAGACTTGGTTAGTACTCAGATGGGAGACAGCAAGGAAATTCCCTGGCTGTGGATTAGATTGAGAAACTAAAAAAAAAAAAAAATCCAGGAGGCAAAGGAAACAATTTTAGTATTGCTGCCAAATATAATCACTAGGAATAAAATCAAAGTTGCATTTTAAAACATATCCCATCAATCTTTAAACTATACTCTTGGACGCCTTATCTTTTTTGTTACCCCAGTGCAGATTAAGATAAAACAGTATAAACGATTTACAAACATAATTTTATGAGGTTTCACAAAGCAGACCATGTGTGCAAGTCATGTAATTAAATCATTAATACATTTCTATGCTAAACTTTATTTTTATTGGAGTTATCTGAGGCACAAACACGAGAACTGGAGCTTTTAGGGAACTGAAAGGCTTTTGCCTAAATTGTTTGCTTCTACTTTTTCCAATCTAATGATGCACTTAATAATTTATGTTTCATGATGACAAGTAACCTTAGAATACTATCTTCTTTCCCAAACTGTAAAATCTCATTGTACAAAGCATTTAAATCAATTTATACATTACTGAGGTCAATGAATATAAAATCATACTCCCAAATTCTGAGACCTATGAACACTTTTCCCTAACATTCTGCTCTGAAACATTTGATCCCTTTCTAGATCTTTGTTCTTTGAGAAACACAAACATGTTCAGAACATGCTTAGATGAGTCAGTTAAAGACCTACTAGATGAATTTACATATATACACTAACTTTAATCAGTATTACCTTGGATGATAAATGGGGTGGGGGTATATTGTGCAACTCCAGCTTGTTTGGTTAGTTTATAATTCCATAGTTCTTGCAACCCCCCAAAATGGATTCATTTTCTAATCAGGTTAAATATATTATGCCTATGCAACTCATATTATTTGTCCAGTCCTTTCTAATTCTGGTCTCCTTAATAGATATCAGGCAAAGGATGTAGGGTGGCTTCTATTGAGTTGACTGCTACTGTCTTGCAGAAGCTTTTCCTATCATTCTCATTTAGCCTGTAGGATAGATACAGTATTAGATTCACTAATGTTCT